GAACTTTCCATTGAAGAGTGTTGCTAGATAAGATTATAATATCTTGTGTTACTATCTGAGCACTGTTATTATATAATATATATATATATATAATGTGGATATATGGATATAAATATATAAATAATAATAACAGTGCTCAGATAGAAACACAAGATGTTATAATCTTATTTAGCATAACTCTTCAATGGAAAATTCTTTATTATAGTTGTATGAAAAGAAGGTCTGTAACGGCATTGCATCCATCCTCTCACTACATGTCATTGTATAATGTTAAATTCCAGTTTAATGAATTTTATATTCTTTTATTTTATTTTTTTCTGTTGCATGTTATTCTCTTGATTTTTACAGCGTCTACAGATGCAGCGGTTACAACAAAATTGTCTGGTAGCAAAGTTGTTTTTATATTATATTAAGAAATGTGTGTATAATACTAGTGTCGATACAGACGGCCACAGTTGCTTTAGTGAAAGTCAAGCTCAACAAACGATGAGAGCTTGTGAGCCTTAGAGGAGACACCAGTTCAATATAGTGACTGTTAATAATAATGTTTCAAAATCACTTGCTGGGTCCTGTCAAATAAATAGGAGCAGTTGTTTGAATTATAATGGTTAATGCACTCATTTTCATTTAAAGCAGAATGTAGCGGAATTTGTATAAAATGGAGTTTAATAAAGGGATTGATTGATTGATTATAATTACTGTACTTTATCAATGTATCCGGATGACATTTTAGAAGCTCTTGGCATTGATCACTGTACTCTATCATAAGTGTATCTTATGTCAGGTTCTGACAGTGATTACTGTATTTATCAGTGTAACCTGATGACATCTTGTCAGCTCTTGACATTGGTTACTGTACTTCATCAGTGTATCCTGATGACATTTTACAGGTTCTGTCATTGATTACTGTACATTATCAGTGTATCCTGATGACATTTTACAAGCTCTCGACATTGATTACTGTACTTTATCAGTGTATCCTGATGACATTTTACAAGCTCTTGACATTTATCACTGTACTTTGTCAGTGTATCCTATGACATTTTTCAGGTTCTGACACTGATTTACTTTTGAAATTGATTGCTGTACTTTTTTAGCTTATCCATTCAAAGTTCGCAAAAAAAAAATAAAAAATAAATAAAAAAAATAAATAAATAAAAAAGCCCAGGGCTTACATTCAAGGTTTTACAGTATAATTAGAATTTTTGAAACGAGTAAAGTGTTTGCTTATATATGTGACATAATATTTAATTAATTTGTCATATAATTAGCCTAACTTTGTATATTGCTTTTTAATAATATAAATTAAAGTTAATGAAACACTGTAGTACTTTGATATTTAAAGTTTTTTTTTCATTTAATATATTTTACTCAGAAAGCTGATCATCAAATTAAATGTTAAAGCTGGTACATATATTTTTTTTTAATAGGAAAAGCCAAACAGCTTCATAATGAAGCACTTATTGAGTCCTTTATGGACACATCACTAAAAAGCAAGGTAATTTTATTAATTCAAACTGTAAACTATTAAACACTGTAGGCTATATTTACTACTTTTCAAAATCAAATGGTATCTCAGGAAAATAGGTATAAAGGTACTTTTCGAAGATATTCCTAAAAAACAATATCGAATATGGCTTCAATAATATTTCATTGAAATATTAGTTACCTATTTATCCTTATTGATTTAGAGACAGAAACAGTTTTTTTTTTGGTTAAAGGGTGTGGGGCGCGTTAGGGGTGGTTTTGTAAAATATTTTGAAAATCACTTATGCATATACAACGAATGTAATTTTTGAAGTTTGTTTACTATTATTTGCTGTCAATTTTTTTCATTATTAAGAAAATCACTCAAGATACAGGCACTGATTCATCAACAGGTAATTTTTAATTTTGTAATGAAAATTGTAACTCAGAAATACAATAAATGGTTGCCTCAAACAACTTCAATATTGAAATAAAGTTTGCTGCCTAGCATCATAAACACAATATAAACAAAGATATAATAATA